GTTCAATTAAAAGTTAAAACTGATTGAGTGCATAAGCGTGGAATAAAAACTTTGACACATTGAATTGACTATCGTTGATTTGATTATCAGCTATATACGTGAAGTACAGAATTTCTTCCAGCTCGCAAGCCATTCATACATGCAAACGGATAATCCGTCCGATTCAGATGGTTGTCCAATTCCTTTTTTTTTTACCCAACCAAGTGGTGAAACAGCCAATACGATCGTCGTCCAACGAGAAACGAGGTGACCGTTTCGATACGGGGCGACTCGTTTGAAATCTCGCAGTAAATTCGTTTCTCCAACATCTGCGCGGCGGTGATTGGACGGCGGATTGTTCGATAAAGCGGCGATCGGCGTTAGCATCCAACTCGAGCTCGGGTGGGCGAATGAAACCGAGAGAGGGTGGCAAAAGGCTGACTTTCTCTTTCGCGGTTTGTTCGCGCTGAAATAGAGCGGTTTTGTTCTTATAAAGGCTAGTTAAAATGCAGATTCTATCAGTCGCTTCAAATGAAGACATACCTTGCGTGCATCGTGACTGACGCGCGTGCGGCTTTTATATAAAATTGTCTTCAAAGGAAATAGAATTTTAACGAAATTGTAAATGGGGAGTATCGATAAAGAACCACGTCGATACAGACGACGCCATAGTTTTCTCTGATCAATTTTCTCCAGTATTATGCACAGCACAGGAATGTAATAATTTGGTGTCTTTGGTGATGTATTTGATGTAGCTTGGGGTGAACAAAATTTATTATTATATATATTTGGTGGATATGATAGAAGATGTTCTATTAGTCTATTTCGCGAATAAAAATTTATTATAATAATTAACGGATAAATATACTTAGCGAATATAATAAAAAGTGTTCTATTGATATGCGCGGCGTGTAAAATTCATCGTAACGTCCGATGAATAAAACAGAAAGCTATATTTCTGGCAAGTTATAGCCAGATATACGACGCCGCATCTGCTTATCGACTCCGCAGCTGCTCGCTATTTCCCATGGATGTCCCGTATAACGCGGCGCATTTGTTTATCGCTCACGAATGACATTTTAATTTCCCAACCATTTGTAATAGAGGTCGTTACGAATTTGTGCTGCGAGATGCAGATTCAATTAGATACCAATGACAATGCCGAGCAGAACAGCGAATGTTCGTGACACTGGGCCGCAGGTGTTTCAAACGACCGGCCTTCTGTGTTCGGAAATGGTATTTACTACTAGCGATTGGTCGGAATTCACTCGGATCGGACGCGCGTTACATCGAACGCGTTTCGAACAATTGCCATAGTACTCTTATTATTAATTATTGCGACTCTTGCTTATAAGAATCCCCTATTATTCACGCGATAATGAATATTTTCTAAATCTAAACCAACTGAAGACAGAGTGTAGATTACCATGATTTGAAGGAACCACACGTATGTTGGGCGAGATCACTTTTTTTACGTTACGAGGTTCAAAACCGAGAGAAACAGCGGTTCGTTCATCGTCGTCACGATACACTAGACGATTTCACTCGTAGAGCCCGGCACTAAAAAGGATTTTAGTTTTTCGAGTAACTACATAGAAACCATTTTATTTGAAATACGTGTGAGCTGTTTCTCATTCGTATCTCGTACCTTTGTTCGATATTTATATGTACATAAAAATATTTGTTTTACACAAAAATTTACGAGGTTTTTCAGTGTCATTTTAAACCTTATCTGTATTTGTCAAAACACAATCACGCACATTATTTTTGGTACTGTGATTTTTTTCCGTCACATTAATTTTTCTGTGCGAACTTACAGACAATACTGGATGTAGATAGCCATTACTGTTTACAGTCCTTTAATATAGCGCTCGTAACTGGGGTGCCAGCCCCGGAGGTATACACGGAAGTGTCGTCACACTTGTTATTTCCCACCGGAAACACGGCATGCGCGTGTATATAGCGTGTACAACGTTGTCACACTATTAATCCTTTTAGGATTAGGGTTTATGATATATGCCACATACGTAGCCTGACAACTAAGTTTGTAGGTAAAACTTATTTATATTCAAATACAGCTCGTTCAAAATTATCTCTTTCGAAATACGATTCTTTTTCGTCTGCGCACTTATTCCGGTGAGGATTCTGACATTAAAAGTACTTTTGACAAAAACATTGTTTCGAAACAATAGAACACGCTATTGTAAATATATCTTTCAGTAAATATAGCTTTTTTTTTTAACATTTTCTTAAAAATTTTGTGACAAAATGATATATATTACACCTGTTCTTTACTTTTTGTGTAAAATTTCAAGTTTTTGACGTTCTAAAGAGATCTTTCATTAAATACATAAGTACTAAGCATAATATTGACACACTAGGAAATTATAAGGGATATTGTCGAGAAATGAAATTAACTACGTACTTTCAACTTTCAATATCGCATTATCCGTCGCGATGTATAATTTACGGGCGATAATTGTATTATAACAACGGCGCCTTATGTACTTGCATTCGGTACTTCAAATTCTCAATCAGATTCGGTGACAAAATATGACTTTTTAAATAAACATTACGCGAAGAGGTCACAGTTTTATTCAACTTATAATCATCTGGCAAAAGTCATCAGTTGGTTAAACAGAACCTAAGTAAAATATAAATTAGTTCTGATGACACAAGTATTATAATTCAGATAAAATATTGGTAATATCATGTTTAGAAACGGGTGTTGATTATGTACAGTATTGATTATCATATCGCACGAACACCTGGCTCTTGTTGAGCTGAATTCCCTATTTGCGAAAAAGATATATTTACAAATTAGCAAACCACACATTTCAAGAAAATTCAGAAATTGTCAAATTAACAGAATGCATTGAAAGATTAAGGAAAAACTCTGAATTCAAAAAAAAATTCCGTCCGTTATGATAAAATGGCCTATACATCACCTCTGGCTAGCGACGTCATGAAATTCTCTGGATAACCACCGGAGAATTTCATTTTGTCAAATAAAACTTGTTCGTGGACAGTTTTGCCGGACATAGAAGTGAGTAGGGGAAAACCGCAGGAATTCCGTTATTAATCTTTTTCAGAGACGCGGAATGCGTTTTTTTAAATCGTGCTGCGCGCAATTTTCAAATATGCTGCGTATTTCCGCGACGGCGTATTTCTCAGCTTAGTGGAAATTTCATTAAATAAAATTCAGTCTTAACACCTTCTGTTCTGTTTTTCGCGTCTTCATCCTTAATTCGTAAGTTAAACGTTTGCGAAATTATTAACTATATATATACTAAATAAAATCCCTAAGAGAGAGGAAAAGATATTGAGACTTTCTGTAGTGTTGCAATATCACGCAAATTGACAGCAATGTTAGAAAGTTTCGCTGCAAAATTGATCACACAGATGTTTACGAATTCATGTTTCTTAAGAGTGCGCTAATATTTTCATTCGACTTTCGAACTTAACTTCATGAAAAACTTGAACGGATAGACTTGCTTTTCGAGACTCTTCTTCGATGAATCGCGTCGAACTTTCTTATACTCGGACTCGCTTCTCGATGCGATTAGATTCGGAAATGTAACTCCCTCGAAAGAGCAAATAAACTCCTTCGAGATTCTTGAAATTTCAAAAACGATCTTGTTACTTCTTTAATTATAGTTTGCATATTGAAATCAGGATTACTTATCGGTTGCCACTTCTCTTCAATTTGAAATAATAAAATCTAAGTATTATATGCAAATGTATAATATTTCTTTCTTTATTTTATTTTGCATTATATAATTCTTTTAAGATAATAATTTTTAAATCTTTTAGTTTTTTATATTATTTAAATAATATTACACATTTTAGTTATTTTGTTTTATCTAGCTTTAGTTCCTTTCTCTCCAATCCACATTTGATATAATATATCTTGTAAAAATATCTTTTAATATACTAGATATTACATAGTGGATTGCTTTGAGCTGAAAGATGGCTTTGTGCTGAAAGAAAAGAAAATCTTTTCTATATGAAAAAAGCATTCAATTTTTCTAGAACCTAGGACATCCTGCACAAAATGTGTAAATTAAATATATTTTGGTTGATATGTATGCGGAATATATATTTTACTATATAATAATCTATATAATCCTTTAATTAATATTATATAATCGACAATAATAGTTGATTATTATTACGGTATTATGCATACTGTGACTAATTATTCCTATTGTGTATTTCATCGGAACAGGAACGTTGCTTAAAGTTATACCGCGAATTTGCTTATTATCTCGCTACTCCTCAAAGCTGAAGTTTTAGCCGACAATGAACGAAAGGGCAACGAACAAAATTGAAACAGAAAGATAAATCGGACTTCAAAGTATCTTTTCAACTCGTGGAAAGCAGCGCAAATACGATGAGCACGATAGGAGTGAAGGAGAGAAAACTGTGAATTGGCGCCGAGATAGAAGTAGTATTAATTTCCTCAAAGCACAGAGATTCCGCCACATCTTCTCCGAAATCTTATTTTTTTTCTTTGTCCACTTTTTAACGCCTGCAATAACGCAGCTAGTTTCGCTAGACTCGAAAGAGGCGGAGAACTGTCTTTTATTAAATTCTAAACATTCACGGACAAAATAAATTTTTGATTCTCAGGAAATTAAATACATAGTTACTAAATTACATGTAATCTGAGATGATTATATTCGTAAATGTATCTTCCTCGTATTAACATAGAAAATTAACTAGTTTGGAAATGCGATAAAATATGTAATTAATCTTTTATCTTTGCTACATAAGTATGTTTTGTTTGGATAATATACATAACGTTTTAATTATTTGTATAACGTATTGGAAATATTAAATAATATTTTCAAATACATTGAAAAATTATGTAAATTTTTTAAAAATATTTGTTTAATTTTGTAACTGTCATAAAGATATTATAATGTCAAATATAAAATTATCAGTCTATACAATTGTACAATTTGATATATTTTGAGAAAAAGACATATATATAAATGTTTTTTCTCTTTATTTTGTAGGCGCGGTAGGTGGCGAAGGAGGTGACGAGGATGACAAGGAGAAGGAAGAGGAGGCCGAGAGAGAGAGGCAGGAGGCCATTAGGGAGGCCGAGGAGCGAAGAAAGGAGAAACATCGTAAAATGGAGGAAGAACGAGAGAAGATGCGGCAAGAGATCAGAGATAAGGTCAGCAAAGACGATTTTGCTATAGCAAATCTTTTGCTTTCAGCTGAAAAGAGTTATCGGATCGCTCCGAAAATGACTCAAGTTCGATTTTCGTACACTCATTCAATTAGAACTCTCATCATCACCCTTTGCAAACTTTGTGTTGTAGAATTTAATGTTATTTACGTACTAAATTATTGCTCGATTTTTAAATCGTCGTTCAAATTATTTCATAAAAATGTAACGTTCTCTAAAAAATATTACTATCTACTAATTAGTTATCAATTAAAGAAATGCTATAATTCTAGGATATCAGGACAGGTTTAAATATCTTTATTAATATTTGATGCAAGATAGTATCCAAAAACTCACAGAACTGCCATATTGGAAACTGTTTGTTTGTAGCTTTTGTTATTAAAACGTACTATATTCGAAGGTATTGTGAATCATATTTTTCAGTTAATTACAAGTGGATTTTGTTCCTGACTATAAATATCAGAGTACGTGTTTGAATATCGCCACGTGTTTCTCCCGCATTTTCCACAAGAGTCCTCGATTTCATCTGGGTCATGTCAACGTGGTTGACTCCGTCCTGACAGGACAATACATCAGGATTGATAATGGCGCGATCCAACGTGCATTTTACATCTCTTTCGTTCTCCCTCTCTCGTTCCCGTTCCTCTTTTTATCCACACATTTATTTCCCGCCAAACCGGTGAATGCGTTGGAAGCTTTTTGCGAGATCCCGTCGGCGTATATTGTTCTAGCCCGTTTGATCAATGCTTCGACGGATTCTATTTTCTACGTGATTCAACTTCGTGATTGCTTTGTCCTCTAAAAAATGTCAAGTGGGCCGACTGATCGACTCAGCTTTAACGAAAACTCGAGAGGGGTATCGATATTAGCACTCTTCTCGCGCGTCATTAATTCTTACATTAATATGGAATAAAGATTAATGAATGTATACATGAACACATGGCATAATAGCGGTGTAGCTGTGAATGTTTTTTTATATTTCTTACAACGAAATAACGTTTAATTTATATTTATATAATGAAATGCTAGGACTTGTTACGAGATAGAAAATTGATGGTAGATTTACATTTTCCTTCACCGATATTTGCCCAACTGGGTTAGTGGCGTGGGATTTTGCGTGACGTTAATTGGAGTGGAAACGCGATTATCTCGTATGTAAACAGAAAATGATATCGTTGAAGGTACCAAACGCGTAATTCGACGTTGCGGGACGCAGTTTGATCTGTGTATGTGGCACACCGACCGCACCGCTGCAGTGTATACTGTAATTCCACATGCGGAAGTGGTCGCCGAGTGGTTAAATGTTTTAACCATTATCACGGCGGAGTTGAGATTTAAATCCCCGGAGGATGTCTTAGATCAATTAAATCGATGGATGAGTAGTAAGCACGTGCACGCTTCTACGAAACCCGATTTAATGATTCGAGAATTATTTAATCTGATCGAAGACCTGGTACGAAATATCAAACAACATTGAGATATAAAGAAATGCGCAAAAATTTAAAGATTTAGACAAATATAAACATCTGAAAGGTGATAATCCTACGAATTTAAGCATTTTGAAATATTAAAACTTAATCGAGCGAAATTTAAACTTGGACAAACCTTGAAGAACTCACGAAATGATAAAACGGTACTAAAGAGACCAGCTAGAATTGGACAAATGTAATAACGAATAAAAGCGAATTCCAGCGGCTTCATTACTCTGCGAAATTTAGATTAAAAAACGTCTTTTAACGCGATGGTGTTTCAAGATTCGTTTATTCCTCCGCGGTTTTATTCGTAAAGCAGGAAGATCTCGGCGGAATATAATTAACACTAATGGCAGCTTCATCATAGGCGAAAGACCCACCTTCAAATCCTTTCCGTCTCGGTAGAAACATGATTCTTCGAAAATGAGCGGAAAAGATTGAGACGCGAGAGCCGTGATCTCTCATGAGAATAAAGCATCCACTATTCCTGCGTAGCAGTGGAAGAGGCTTTGGCATGGTAATCGCATTGGGTCAAGTCAAATCCGATTTCCTATCTCGACTAATGAACGAAGTGGGACTTTGTTATAGCCAAGTCCTTGCGCAATTTGAAAATATTCTTTTATTATTTTATATTTGCAAATTGATCTCGAGAACTTGTCATCGGGGGGAACAGCGTATGTAATACAAATACAATATATTATTTAAGCTATATATATGCATATATAATAAATGAAAAAATATATATTATATATTATATATATTTCATCTTTTTTATTTATTTGTATCAATATATAGTATGCTATCTATCATGCTGTATTAGTGTAAATATATTACTTCGCAACATTTATCATCACATCAGAACTATATACAAATTAGACCCATTAATATTTATAAAGTACAATTATATCTGTTTTGCGATTGCCTTACATTTTTTACTAATTGTAAGTTGGGAAAAAATATGTTTGAATATTTTTCGAGAGAAGATAGTTTTAAATCTACAAACACACATACAGAGTAAATCCTTCAAAAAGCACTGACATTAAAAAAAGCACTGAATCTTTCTCTCATCTTCCATCAGAAATAATGTTACTTTTAAAACCTGATAATGCTAAATAAATAAAAAGAGAATGGTGAAGGAGAGAAAAAGAGAAAGATAGAGAGAGATTTCCAAAATTCCGGTTATCAATCTAATATTGTTCGCGTTTCACATTATACTTTGAGAAAATATTATACTACATCTGGTACTTATTCTCTCTGCTCCCTCATTGGCCTTCTTCGTCCTCAACGGCATCTCGAAGACAAAAGGAACACATTATTACGTTGTCGTTACCAGTTTCTATCAACATCATTGTTCTTGTTACAACACTTTTATTTTATTTTCTCATATATTTTATCGAATGATTATACTATATCGTTCGTTCTTCGTTCACACACTCCGTTCACACGTTCAAGTTCACAGCTTCTCTTTCATTTGCTTTTTCTTTTCTTTTCCTCTTTTCTACTCTTTTCTTTTAATAGATACTATTGAGCAGAAGAAATGATGATGCAAATAACATTTGAGAAAAGGATTTTAATCTGCATTCCAGTTGAAATATTTTAATTGAAAGGTTTTGTGAACAACGGAAACATTGTTAAAATAAATATATACATATACACAAAAGAAATCTACTTTAAGGGGATCCTATAGCGAAGGCCGAACTTCCTCGACGTCGGTAATGTCAACATTTCTAATCCTGTTTTCTATGTTATATATCTATGTCTGTCCTTGTCTAACCAGAGGCATCTGTCTTTGTTCGATTGCTGCGCCATCTCTTGCTACACGCAATACTGCTTATCCTGTCAACCTAAATGTGCTTTTGCTTAATAAAACTTCATTTTACGGAATCTTTTTTTCTAGACGTTGAATCTTAGTTTTATTTACACGATATTGTTCCTACATGTTGTCCCTACGTCGCCTTGGTGTCATTATATATATATAAACTGCAGTAATTTTGTTATTGTCGTCAGATGACAGTTGTATGTGCCCAAATTAGTAAAATTTTTAATTTTTTTTGGTTCCCGATATGAAATCGTACAACGCGATGTAGATTTTTGTGCGTACTTTAATTCTAGACCAAAAACTTGCAATTCTGTAAAGCCAATTCAAAAATTCCTTAAAATGAAAAAATGTCGGTAACTACCGCCACTATAGGATCCCCTTAAAGAAGCATTAATATATATAAAAGTTGAAACTCGAATTAAAATAAAAGTTGCTTTATCAGTGAATGTGTTTTGTGAATGTATTTGTCAGATCATAATAAGACCACAATTAAAGAGAATGATGTTATATGTAGAAGTACCTATAAATTGATATATGAGAACAGTTTATTATTAACCTAGTCTTGATAAAATTTTCAACGCAACTAACGTAAAGCAATCTATGGCGTCTATGTCCAGCCTCGCGTTGGCGTTTTCAGTCAGTCAAAACGATTGCAAATTGCATGGAATCAGGCACGATCGATTGGCAGTAACATTCAGCATAGCCTATATGCCTTCAAAGGTTGCGTTAAATAATTTACATGCTAAACCGACGCGAGGAATAGTGTAACTTCGAAGAAAGCTGAATCCATTGGGATATTGTATCCCGGATATTGAAATAAAAAACCGATAACGCTGAAAATTTTACGTGTAGAAGTCTACTTAAGTAAAATAGGGCAGTCATCGTTATAAGTGGCAAGTTCGGCATTAACCATATCATAATTAAGGTCTAAGGTGATTGATCGTTCCTGTTGAACACGCGTATCCTAGTAAATGTCAAAGATAATCTCCGAGGAAGGAAGAGGAAGCATCAAATGTGACAATGCAGGCGAGAAGAAAGAGGCGACGATGAAGCGAACTAGAAGAGAGAAGATTGAACTTAACTGGGGTCAAATTGACTCTAGTAGGGAGTCCCTGCATTCAATATGGCGACTTCCTAATAGAGTCAGGCTGACTCCTTTTAAGACGTTCACCAAACGAGGAACCGTCTCATGAAAGTACCTGACAGCGTGTGCTTTATGAACGAAGTTAAGGCCATTTAATTTACAAAGCATCAGTTAATTTAATGGTATCAGGATAGAAGTATCGCGAGTAGATCTGCATGTACTGGTTTGTGAAAAACAGAGCGGCAATAAACGTTGATTGATTAAACACGAGAAAAAAAGGATTTGCTACATTAGCCAATCTTTCGTTACTATATATTGACAACTAACATTTTTTTTGTTGCGAGAGCTAATTAATTTAGCAATAGTATAAGCAAAACCTTTTGTTGCAATAGCAAAAAGTTTGCTACTCGTAGCAAGACCTTTTTCTCCGTGAATGATCGATTGGATCTGTCACTCGTACAAATTATATCAGTTTATTTTACAAATAAAATCTTAGAATTTACATGTATATTATTTATGTCTGTGTGCATAATCGAGAATTAATTTTTTTATATCTACTGTAGGATTATTTAAATACATGTTTACGAATTAAAAAAATGTAATTAGTATATATACGTAGATTTTCAAGAAAAAGATCACGCGCAATACGATACATATCTTTTGAAGCCTACTATAACTCTGAATCCCGACAGAGATCTCGGATTCCAATTTTCCTATCGCGGTAATATGGCACCGTATCAGATCTTTCTGTCTATTTATAACACCGACAAAATTTATGATGTATATAGGGAGTATCGAGAAACCGTAATCTCTTCTTCCAATCTTCTCTTTGTCTCTGCATACTAATAATGCTTGTATTATAGATATAATAATGAATAGATTATGAGAGAAAAAAGGGGAGAGAGAGAAGATAAAAAGTTATAAATGTGTCAATATTGTCGATGAAACCTTGGAAATATTAGTAAAACATTAAATTTTTCAAAATTCGATAAAATATCAAAATATTATCTGTTCAATATAATTGTTTCATACTAAAATATTATCTATTCAATATAATTTATTTTATTTGGAGTAGCTAATAGTAAGAAAAAGAATATTTTTACATGAGTTAGTTACATAAGAGTGCAGAATACATCGAAACGAGAGCGTGAAAGGACGCAGGCCTCAAAAACGCCGCAGTGCGACTCACTCTGCGGGCTTCATGGAGGCAACACACTGTACTAATATCATTAGAATAAGCGAATGGCGCAAAACTTCAAGCAGTTGTTTATTCATTAATTGCTACCAAACGATTGTAATTATTGTATACAATTATTGTATACAATAAGTGTAATAGATATGCTACACAAAATTTAACTGTATATGATAATGTGCGATATTCGTAGTTTTTAGAGATAAGAATTATTTATACGTAAGTACAAGCAAGAAACCTTAATTATAAGAGGTATAATATATATAAGGAATAAGAAATATCCAATGTTCTAAAAAATTTAACTACTACTTATTAATAACTATTATATAATGTATATATGTATATAATTATACATAATTAATTAAATATAATTAAATATATATATATAGATACATAATTAATTAAATTTGATTAGAATTATTTACGCATTGATCCTCAGTTCTTTCTATTTTGTAATTATGTACTTTTTAAATTGTCTGGTTATTCTTAAAATAGTTATGTGTGCCAGCCAGATGTAACGCGTGATAAATCGCCGCGCAGCCATAATCCGGCGCATAATAATGTTCTCATAATTTCGAACATGAATGGACAGAAGCGGACGGCGGACGTACAGACGCAGATGCAAGAGGCGCGTGGATATGTTGCGCGTGTATCGAGGAACATTAATTAACGTCAGGATCAGAGCATCAGATTTGACGCTGCCACGTGGGGTACAGCGCTCGTTTATCCTTGCGCTATCTGTCTCCTCGATGTAACGCGTATTTTCGTTGAGAGATTGAGTTTGAAAGAGAACGTATTCTCGTCAAATATGTGCTAGAAATACTTTTGAAATTCTAGAAATTGAAGTACCAGTTAGAATATTAATTGATATTTTTTTTTCGATTCAATAAAAATGCAAATGCATTATTTACATTAGAAAGACTAGCACGGTTTATCGTACATTTTTTTGTATACATTTTTTAACATTCTCATTATTTCTTTGTCATTAAAAAAATTTTTTACGAGAGAAACGATATTGATTTTCCATCTCTTTGAAATATTAATCACTTTTAAAATATTAATATTCTTGATATAATAAAGAGACAATTAAATAAACATTGCTGACTGAATGTCATTTATATATGCTAACGAAATATATATTGATTGGAACAAAAAGAAGATTAACTGTACTTTTCATCGCGCTATATATCAATACCGTATAAGTTATAAGTTGAGGGAAGAAAACATATCTTGTACGTACTAATTTATCATATTACTTATTATAGGTTTGTGAAATGCGCCAATGATTTTTCTTCAACTATAGGGAATTAATGTATACTTAAGCGAACTAATGTAGGTATCTAGTAAGCAATAGATAAAGAAATTGCGTAATAAGTACATGATACGTGCGCAAAATGTTATATACCTACTATATAATTATAAGATACGCTATCCTACTTCATTGGCTTCCAATTGTTTTCTTGAATCGCAAAAAAAATATATATGTATATGGAGTTCAACGTTTTTTCTGAAATATATATTTTTTTTACTTTACAACGCGTTTTTTCTGAAAGCGACTCATCTGAAGGAAACAAAGGCACTCGTGACTTGCGCTGATGTCGAGTATGCGCTATTATCCGTTGCATAACAAATCATTTCACTGAAAGGCACCAATTATTAATGAGCCCTTGGTCAGCGGTACAACGTATACATATCCCATAGGTAATGATAATACTTGTATATGAGGCATATTCCTATACACGCGGCGGTAACGGCACTTGTACCATTAATGCTATGTCCAGCTTGCTCCGCAATCGAGCTTATTGTTGTACCAAGAATACAAAGCATCGATAGTATACGCGAAGACCATCGCTGCTTGTTGTAAATTGGATGTGTTAAATAGCAGTTAGAGAAAGAGAAAGAGGAGGTGGGAGGGAAGAAAAGAGGCAGATACTATTTGCTTGTTAAAATATAAATTAATACAATAAAGTAAAATAAATATTATATGATAAAAAATATGTAATATAAGATTTATTTATAAAAAATATAATGTAATATAAGAAAAATGTTAAATGTATGATATATAATTATATATATATTTATTATATAATTATAGTGTATAATAATAAATTTAAAAAGTAGGATAGCAAACTAATATTATAATAAATTGAAATACTTATTCATAAAGATCTTATAACATTATAAATGATTGAATAATCAAGTTTTTAACGTTGAAAAGAAAAATTGTAGGTTCTTCTATCTCACTTGATGAGATATTGTTTTTTTTTATTTGCAGTATAATATAAAGAAAAAGGAAGAGGTGCAAGAAATGCCACAGGAAGAGCCTAATCCTCTGATGCGAAAGAAGAAAACACCGGAGGAACTCGCGGCCGAAGCTGAAGCCGAAGACGAAGATGAGTTTACCAGTATGTAGTGCTCGCAATATTCTTTCAATATATTTAATATAGATTCAATAGATTTAAATCAGTCAAATTAGTTTTAACTTACAATTTTTCGAGTGATTATGAATAATAAAATTTTGTCCACTTTGAACACGTAAGATAAAGTAAAAATAAGACAAATGAGATCTCACAAGAGAAGATAATGTTCATTTTAATATGTTTAAAATCGTTATTGCTATCATTATCAAACTATAAAATGTTTTTTAAAGATATTGACATCAATTATACTAAATTCAGCAAAGCACTATATTGCACCTATGGATTTACAAAATTCGACGGGCTAAAAAATCTGACAAATCTTCTAATTTTGCAAACACGAATCTAATGCTACGACTACTTTCCATATCACTATTTATGAGAGAGCGTTGAATCATGTCTGTGTGAATATGTAGTAGAACCTTTAAGAACAAACCAAGTCCTTAGGGAAATTACTCTAAACCCATAACAACACTAGAGGGATTCAGAAACATCTACCAGCTGCCCAAATATGTTTAAACTCATATATATATATATATATATATATATTCGTTATATATATATATATATATATATATTCGTTAATTACTTATCATATCACACATTACATATAGCACATGTAAACAAGATTATTTTATTAGATCTTTATTGGATCTTAAAACTCTTAGAAATTAGGTCTAATTGTGAGACCCGGTAAAAATTAATTCTGTTCTACTCATTAAAATGGAATGTACAGCAATATTTTCTTATTGTTAGCTGCAAAAATACAATTATTTAATGTGTTCTAATTTTATTTGTATTTCATAACAACAATTTTAATTTATATATAATTCATTTTCATATTCACAAGAATACATAAGTGTAAATTAAAATTTGCGATAAAATAAATTTGAGATAAAATGAATTTCTGCATAATTACCTTTAAGAAAAAGCTAAAAACTGAAAAATTTGTTGTTTATTTAAATTAGAGGTTTTGAAAAGAGAATTACAATTTTTTAAACAAACAACTTTGTTAAATATAGATTTTTGTCTGTCGGGATTACAATAGATTCCTTTTCTTTTCCTTTATATACTTTTCTCTTTCTTTTTTTTTTCTTTCTAAAAAATATTTTATTTTGATTATCAATTTTTATAGACTTTGACACGTTCTTATTTTGACTGTTTCAGAATTGAGAAATACGATAGAAACGCAAGTGAATGAGATCAAGTCGCAAATTGAAAGTAAGTGCAGCCTCCAATGAGCCTATTGCATCGCGCGGTTCGCGAGAAAGATGACGACGACGTCGTACGTTATCATCGGACTCGTGTCCGCCCTGCTACTCGAAGGAGCAATGGAGGAAGGGGTAGCGGAAGAGATAACGAAGCAACGAGAAAGAGGAAAACTGATACGTGGAGTCACCAACGTTGGAACGCCATCGTCGTGCCAATCAATCGGAGATCAATTTCAACATTCGATTGGTCGATCATTGCTTAAAGCAAAATGAACGACGAAAATGAGCCAGAAGATAACCCAAGGATTAAAAAAAAAGGATTCTTAAAAGATTTTTCATTGCCGTCACAACTTCGGAAATCGAAAGAATCCTGTCGAGGATTTTATCCTGCTTAAGATTTGACGTTAAAAATGACAGAAGAATTATTATCTTTTACGCAGAGAAACGTTAAACGAACTGAAATTGAGAGAAGATTACTAACTGAGCATACAAAATGAAAACCTAAGAATGGATTCAATTCTAAAAGAAATCTTTAAGAAACTTTAAAATTTAATGCTGGTAAAATGTATCGACAATTCCAGTAAATTCAAATGTAATCATCCATTACAGGAACCTAATAATAAAATAACTCAAAACAAATATATATTACAAATATTTCAACCAAAGTATTAACTAAATGAACAGCAGAGCATGCTGTTAAATTTATACAGTAAATACCAGAAAATCAGAAGACAAAATAAATCCACAGAATAAGGAATGAGATTAAAAGATGCTTGTTGAGAAAATACAAAAACCAATTCTCTCGATACTTACGACGAGCAAATAAACTTCGAATCCTTAAAGACGGAAGAAATTCTCGACAGATGACCTGATGTTCTTCAGCGCAAAACGAAGAGATCCAGGCATTGACGACATTGAAGAGAAATAAAATTAATCACCAAAAGAATTCGACACAATGATTATTTTGAAAAGAAGCACGAAACAAAAAATAGACACGGTATGTCTTTTGAAAGAATGAAGATCGTGTAGCTAAATATCGCGGAGAAGAATTAGAAATCCAAAAGCTTAAGCTCATTTGATTCGGAAACAAACAATATGATAAAAGAAAAGAATATGTGTAAAAAAAACAAAAGGAGAGATGACTGAAATATTGTCGATCGTCGATGGTGTTCGTGAAGGGAAAATTTAGGGGGTAAAAAACGATGTAATCGACGATGAAGAAAAAAAAGGAAAAGAGAGAGAATGCTGACTCGACCAGAGTGTGATTTTTTTATGTAATTGTTGCAGTTAAAACGAAGTGTGAAGTGATGTTGTTTTATATAGGATAATTAGGTGTTCTGTAGAATGTGTTTAGATGTAGTATAGTTTATAACAAATCAATTATCTGGTATGACGAGTGAGGTATCTAACTGTAGATACTGAGTTATTTTCTATTTATAGTTGGTCTAGGTATTCTATAGTTATATGGAGAATTTTTGGCGCAATTTGGTGATTTAAAAACTATTACTTACTACAACTATTGATTATTACAGGAACTAATGATTCACTCTTTAATTATTACCAGTATTAATGATTTGTTTATCTAGATATTTTATGAAATATCTAGTTATTCTGTATTTCTGATGATCTAGTATTGCGAACGCTTCAGATATGTTAATTGATTCTCGGATGGGGATATAGTATATAGAAATTTTTAGAATGGTCTCAGAAATTTTTTGAAGAAAATTCATCGAGGCTTTCTAAGTTTCGTATCCGACGATTATAATTATAGAGTCTCACAGTTGCCGTACGACGATTACGGTTTTTGCATACCTAGCTAGGAAATAACAAGCGTGATTCGTGCGGTGACCAATTAGCTTCTCATTTTTCCGGAAATAAAAGATACGTAGCAGGAGGTGCTTCTTGCTACGTGCAACTATATTGTTGTTATTATGGTCTGTGTGCAAGTCGGTCAGACATCGGCTGTCAAATGGGAAACTTCGGAAGCAATTACATATTCGAATATGGACCTCGAAACTTCCCTATTAGATGGTCAATTAACAGCTCCAACGAATGCGTCGTACAAAAACTGTACTATGCTTTACATTGCTGCACTTATAGTCTGACTGTCTTTATTTTAATTGCTCTCCTCTTCTATCATATTTATAAATTCTTCTTATTTTAAATAATAATTATTGCTGCTTTTGACTGTAAAACTATGGGTTGCTAGCTATATATAAACTTCTTTAATCATGACGTAAAAAGGCAAGCTGTAACATCGTGTAAAATAAAACTTATTAGTAATCCAACTAAAAATTGGCCTCAAATGCAAAATTACAATACAAAACTAATTATATAAGAGAAAAATACAAAATTAAAATTTTTAGAATTATAAAAATGTAAAAATTAATGAGCGAATATTCGAGAGTGACACTATTAATAAAAATCAAGAAGTAATAATCTTACAAAATTATATAATTCTGTCGTCGATTAATCAACTAATTAATTTATATCGCCGATGCTAATGTTAGCAAGCATATTGATTTTCACTATTTGTGACCAATGTCCGATTTATATCCACTCTTAGTACACATACACACACACAATTATTATACTACTACCATTATATACTGTTATATTCACTATGGCTTCACAGCATATTGTCTTTTCATAATTGATACAAGTGAAATATAATACATTGAATGGACAAGATGTGCAATAAACATATCAAAGCCAGCTATATTTACGCGTTTAGTACGTTTAAGTTCAATTTATTGATAATAAATTACAAGTGATTTAAATCCACTAATCTGATCTATAAAGTACATGCAATATTGTTTTAATTGGTTAATTGATATGATAATTTATTTCTTCGCTAGCAGTCGATGTTTTATAGTTAAACGCTAATCTCTTTTTTTAGAAATAAAAATTTAATTATACATAATGCCGCGCTATCTGGTCGCGCAGCATACGACTCTCGAGATAGATATACACTTGCAAATATCACGTGCTCGAAAACGCCAGGTGCAGGGCGGGATATTTAGCTTCTCTCGCTCGTTATAAACAATAACGATAAAGTTTATATATGTATGTATATAAACATAAATGAAGAAAAAAGATGAAAGAAGCAAAAAAAAGAAACGTATGTTAGCGCGTTAAGTTTTTAGGGAAGATTTTTCGGATAGTGAAAAAATAATAACAATTGTAGTTGAGTTATGTAGTTGATAGAAGTTCGTTCGACGACTGTTTTAATACACTAAAGAGAGAAGAGAGAGAAGACGGTGATGAAGGAGTTCTTATTATTATTGTTATCGTTATTATTAATAACGCTACTATGATTATTAAAAATTGCTATATACTTACAAGTGAACACATCGAGCGCCACGGCAAATCACCACGAAATGCGAATAATGATAATTACTATAGTCCTCGCTCTGCCATTCGTCTAAAAATTGCAAGAGATTGTAATTTAATAAGACAAATAGTAATGGTGAAAAATACGATATCAATACAAACATTTTATTAAATTCGAAAACAGAAGAAAAGAAGGTCAATACGATTTAACTAATGAATTAATTAGAATTAGATTATTGGCTTTGCGTGTTGTTTCTTCTAGATTTTTTAAATTATTGATTCACACTCCATATTTTTAAATATTTTATTACATCTGGTTTAACATTACAAAAGAATTGTTATCTAGGTATAGATTATCGTTTCGAGATTATTGTGTTAAAACTATTAGGTTACTCGTCCAGAAGTTTATTATTGCGAGTTTTAAATATCTGTTTTGTTGTTAATTTTAAAATATTTAAATACATTTTTATTTGTATTTTAAGAAAAATTGTAAATTCTATGGTAATTTTTAAGATTTTCAAAAATTGTTATGTTACATTAATATTAAAATTTAATTATATTAATGTTAAATTAAATGCAAGTAAAAAAGTTTCTTTTGCCTTAGCTAATTTTATTTTTGTGCGGAGGTCACATCTAATTTTTTAATTATTTGTAATAACAGACACACATGCACACATATGTTGGAATAGGTATGCCGTAAAAATGAAAGCAGAGATAAACAATGAGAGGGAAAAAAGACGTTTAGTATATTGTAGAACCATTTTTGTACAGAAGACAGAGAAACGAAATGTATTTTCTTATTTGGACGTGTTAAATTCATATACATTCTAACATTTCCTTAATCCTCGAATGAGAGGGGCATGATAGAATGAATTAATAATACATTCAATTCGTAAATGATAAATAACAAATTGATGATAAAGTGATAAATTGGTTTTACCATTGACAGGGTGAGGTCAAAATGCTCTAATGATAAAATATTATAGTATCTATGTATATGCTTGTTCTTTTCAATTTTTATTTATTGACTTACTTTGTTAATTAATTTTATGAGTATTTTTTAAACTTTCTAAATTTCTACTAAATAGCTCGATAATTGAATTTCGTGACAAATTTTCATGATTTTTATGACTTAAAATTAAAAGTTTTCTTTATTTGATTATCTAAACAAATTGTATTTGATATAAGTTGGATTTTAAAGCTTAAAAGACTGAAGTTTAACAACAAAGTTAGTGGTAGGGCGCATGGAAAAAAATAATTGCGAATGAATTGGATGTCACTCTATTGATTTATGGTTAAATAATCATTAAATTCTTATTCTAGAAATATGATTACTTCAAATATGTTCACTTTCGGTCTCTTTCTTTTAAACTTGTCTTTTATTTTACTTCTTTTATTACTGTTAATATTACAGTTTACAAACTTAACTACTTTTCCCTTGTATCGCCAAAAAACTCCGAATTTCTAGAAAATTTTGAAACATGCTGCTTTTTAATGTTTTTTATTTCTCCTTTAATATCAATCCTTCTCTTTTTTTACTCGTTATATTTGACTATTTTTTAATTTTCTTTCTTTTGTAATTTCCTGTTTAATTTATAGTTTTGTAATTGGTATTTATGTATTATATTTTATCTGTATTATTTATTAATGTATTGTAGTGTTGTATTTTTTAATTGTACAGTAATTTTATAATTTGTATTTTAATTACCATTTTTACAATATGTGTACTATTTTGGTTGTTGTACAGAGAGATCTGAGGAAACTCCCTCAGTTTTATGAAATGCGCTTTAATTTATTTTTATTGTTATTTTTCTGCGTATTTTCAGTATTTATTTCGCTGCTCAGTCGATGATTTTTTTCGCAATAATATTGTAAAAGAAAATGTCAGTGATCATGCTTACTTTGCAAACACTGCAAATTGTTATGCATAACTCTCACAACATTATCTTCATGGACGTTTAGCAGTTGCATAAAGCAAAGTCGGACCCTTCGGGTTAAAACCTAAACTCGGGTAAAATTATGTGTTTGTAGGATTTTTATTTTATGATATCCTTTAAATATTTTGTTCTTAAGAAATTAATAAAATAAATTTTAGTATAAAAATAAAAGAATAAGTAAATAATAAAAATTAATCAAATTAAAATTTATACAAAATGTCATTAATCTTGTCTGAATCCGAAAAGATTTAGGCACCGCTAGCCAAGGATTAATTATCGTTGAACAAATAGCAATATTCAATGAACGCAAACAGAGCGTTTCGCTGGCCGCATTTATTCCGCGCTTTCATCGTAAAAAAACCGCGAACTTTCTGCAGCAATTCGCAGAAAGAGCAGAACCGCTTCTGAAGTTCGCCAAGTTCGGCGACGACCGAAAGTTTTGCAAAAATCGCTGACAACGTGCTACCTTCTTTTTTCTTCTTCTCAGTTTTGTTCTTTTCAACTTGACTCTTTTTCTCTCTGCTATCTCCCGTCCTTTCCTTCTTCTCTCCTTCCCCTCCTCCTCCCTCTCTCCCTCTCTCTCTCTCTCTCTCTCTCTCTCTCTCTCTCTCTCTCTTTCTTTCTCGGTTTTCAGAGCAAGAAACTCCATCATCCGATGCGACTCTGCAGCTGTTTGTTCACCAAAAACAAACCAAAAACTTTTCTTTCAGCATTTGACTTATCCCCGTTCCCATTTCGATCTTGCTTGGGAGACGAATGGGGATTTTCATAGGTTTAAAACTGATTTGTGGTCTTCAAAATCACGTTCTAATCGAGAGACATGATTGAGAAAAAATAGTCATAAATTAGATACGAATGAATTAATTGCTTTTGGAGAGATTGAATTTGTAACTTAGGGGATGGTGTAGAGCAATTGTGTTATATGGTTATATTTATGGTAAATTGAAATTGATCAGATTCTGAAATTACATCACATTTTTTGTGAAAAATGTTATTTTATTATATTTATATAAATATCTGCATATGCAAAATTTTTTATTTATTTTTTATTAATTGTTGTTTTGCTATATATATATTATTATATTTTAATTAACTGACGTAAGATTTGTCTTGTAATAATACAATAACGTAATATGTTTGTTATTATGCAATTATTTATTAATTTATTACTTATATATATTTATTATTTTATATATATTTGTTTTATTAATTAATTTATTTTACTGCTATTTTTTAAAGATATATATTTATTTGCATTAAATACTAATATGTAATTTCGTGAATTAAATAAAGATTTATGAAAATATACAAATTAGCTGCGTATATGGGATCATAGAATTAATCAAGTTTTTTCTATACACATTTCGTCTCATACAATTACAAATTAAATCATTATTATACTTATTTTTACTATATTAAACATCTTATATCTACAAAGAATGTTTAGAAAAGATAATGGTTCAAATTAATATATAAAAAAGAATTTGTTAAACCAAGTAAAAAAATCTCAATCAAAGAGGATCCGCAATCTTACTGTTTTCAAAATATACAAAATGTCACGTTGCCGGTTATAGTGAAGGCTAATGTGTTGACTGTGACATTTTTTTCTAGGTTTAATATATTCAACTATCCAACATATCGATTTTTGAACCATTATTTTATAAACATTCTGTATCTGTAATATTTGCAACTACGATTGTCTTTGCGTTTTTCTACGGATGAGTTATGCAAAAAAAAAGAAGTGATCTTGACTGACAACCAAACCTCCAACGATTCGCGCACGAGAATCAAGGAGACGATCGACTAATATATCCAAGACGCGGAAGAAACAAAAAATTATTTTTTGCAATATATTTTTAAATTGTACTCGATGTGTAATCTTTCATCTATCTATCGATATGCATGTCAAATTTCTACTCCGCTTCACGTGTCTTCTTTATCAATGTCACTGACTGGCTGATCTTCTTCGTCGCGCAGCTTATTGCTCTCGTGTAACTGTCTGTCTGGCTGAAGATCTTCGAAAATTACCCTGTAACGGGTAATTCGTTCCACGATTAATCCCAAACGGCGTAATCAATATCGGAACCTCTCTAATACAATTTCAAAGAAGTTGAACTCATCGTCATGCGCTTCGTTCATAGATAAATTCTGTGACATATTATAATATTATTTATTTACAAAAATTACGTGAAGTATATAAAGATTTAAAGTTTATTGTATAAAAGATACGAGATAAATAGCAATTAAAAATGATAATTTTATTCTATTTTATTAATTATGTTATTGTTAATCCTATTTATAATTCTATTTTTGTAATATTATTGACATTAATATTATTTAAATATATACTTATACTAACGATAATAATTATATTTATCGTCAATTTCTTAATTTTAGGATTAATATAATCAAAGAAAAAAAATATATATATTAATACAACACACACAAATATATACATATATATATTTTGTTATCAGAGTTAGAAAGATAAATGAACGACGAGGTCATTTTCGAAGATCCGGTCTCGGCCGAAATTTACGCTCTTTCCTGTAAATCGTCTTGCGTGTTTAATCATCCTGATTAACTCTCATAACTGCAAACGAAAGATTTATAGATTCTTATTTCATTGTCAAGTTAACAAATTGATAATATTAGATACATTATGATAAAAAGTCTTAATTTTTTCTTGGAAAACTTATAATTCTTATATAGTAATATACAGATATTATATTACACAGATATCTTCTTTATATTTATACGGTAATTTTTTTTATTTATGAATTTTGTCATAGAATAATATTTGATTTAATTTCTCAAATTGTTATAGTTTCGTAGTTATGAGTTTTTAATTAGGGTACTGACACCGTTGCTATACTCTTCGAACATCCTCGCGATGTACCCCGCCGTTCAGATTATATCCAAAGCGATGTTATACTCGAAGTCAATTACTCAATATAAATCGATTTACCGAAGATATATGCATATA